AACCTCCCAGCATATTTTTTTTTTTTTTTTAAAGTTGAGGGATAATTGTTTGAAAGAATCTTTAATAAAAAAAAGTTTTGGGGTTTAACTGGATTTTAATTCTTCAAATTAGGCAATGAATTCATAATTCGGATAAGAAACAAATGTGATTTTTATTTTATTTGCTGGGGATTAAAATATAATACTGTAACAATATATGTTAGGTCTGAAGAGCATAAATTTGGGCTTCAAAATTTGCCTTTTCATTGACTATGACAAAAAAATGGTTGTTGATCAGTTGCAAAATTTAATTTATTGAGAGTATATAAATTAAATTTAATATTTTTTAATTACTTCAAGTAATTATCAATGGATTTTAAAAATTTATTTTAACCCTTTACAGGGCCGTATATGGGGCAGTGGTCATATATGTCCCAACTACCTAAATGCAAGAATTTCATCTTCAAAATAGTTCTGTTACAGTCCTGGGAAGTCAGAAGGTTTGTCAACACATGCTAGCCAAAAATTGATTTAAGTAGGATAATGATGGGTAGTGCACGTTAGTAGTACGTATGACAACGTTGATAAATGTATTTCATAGCTGAAGATTTTTTGTGCCTTCCTGCTATTGAGTTGAAGGCATCGAAACCTGAACATGCGGACTTCAGGCCCAGATAATTTTTAAATCTTCAATTTCCGATGTTAAAATCCATAAATATGGTCCTCCAGGCTGGATAATTTTCAAATCTGCACATTCAGATGCTAAAATCCAAAAATATAGTCGTCCAGGCCAGATAATTTTCTAATCTCCAAATTGAGATGTTAAAATAACAGTTATTACTTGGTAAAAGATTTATTAAATTTAAATTCTAAATATAAATTGATTCGCACAACACTACAAGCAACTAGTTCATCCATCAACCATTTTCCTTATTGCTGTGAATACATGTCCCCCATTACAATAAATTTATAGTTCATGATTCATTCTTCAATGATTTATAAAGCATGTTTTATTGGTAACATTAAATAAGCATCATATTATGTCCACCTTACTTTTTTGTTTTTTACTAAAGGCAATCTAAATTTGTTAAAAACTTAAACAGTTTCATTGTAAATTAATTTCTTAAATAGGTGGGCAAGAAAATAATTATTAATAATGCATCATATATTCACTGAGTTCATTCAATAGATTTAACTGCTGCTTATTTATGATTGTTGTTAAATTACAGTTGTCAATTACAAGCAGCTTATTTAAGATCAACTTTACCTATTTTGCAGTGCACATATGTCAAAGACAAATAAAACTCATCAAAACACTTAAGTTTTCACAGTGTAAATTTAAGGTTAATTCGTTCAATACTATTTCAATGAATGAATGTATAAATTGAAAAAAATTCAGTAGTTGAGTTATTGTTGAAGTAACATTATTTATTGTGAAAACATCTTCATTAAATTAATTTAATAACCTCTCTGCTGTACTTAATAAATAAAGTAGTCCATTAGCAACCATAATTCAGACATATGAATGTTATGTATTTTAACAAAGTTTATTACATGTTATGTTTCAACCAAGTTATTAAGTTATGGGTCCTGTATGCTTACAAAGACAAAATATTTCTGTTTGATCTCATCAAGGGCCTTTTCCCTCTTGGCGAGAATTTTATCATATTCCATCTTTGCTAATGTCCTAGGGGATGCCAAATACCTCTTCTCTTGCTCCAAAGATTTGACAGGTCAGTGAAGATGCGTCTAAATGAGATAGCATCTTCCTTCAACATGGTGGTGCCAATTATCACTCTTTTAAACCTCCTATGACCTCCCCTACAATTACCATCTCATTTGATTGGAATCCTTCTTGCAATCCTGCTTCCTGCTCAGGGCTCATCGTTTTCAGCACTATAACCCTTGATTTCTCCCAAGTTAAACATCTACTACAATGCACATCCTTCTTTGTCAGTAGCCAGGGATTAACTTAAGATCATGACATTAACATCAGCCATAATAATAATATGGTCATCCTAGCACAATTTAAAACACATAAACCATTCTCTATTCCACCATACTTAATTTGTTTTCCCTATTAGCCACAAACCAAACCTTTCTATTAGTCTCCAAAGCAAGATATTCTGAGGGCAAGTATTAAAAGAGTAACACCTTTGCTTGAATTTTTTTGGGGAATTAGAAGAAATATAAAATGAAATGAAAATAATTTTATTAGTCTGGGACTGATGCCCCTTTAAAATAAATTATAAATAAAACATGTCAGTATGGTCATACATTAAATAAAATATTTCATGATTAAAAGTAGAAATGAGGAGGGAAAGAGACAAAAAACAACATACATACATAGACATATATATGTGCATATATAAATAAATGAACTTTTAGAATTTAAAAAAAAATAAAATAAATCTGCAAAGGATCATTAGTTATAAACTTGTCATATATGTTTTATAATTTTTTCATTGTCTAGGAACTTCAAAACTTTGGTAAGAGTTTCTTCTTAATTTCTCAGAGATGCAGATATATTCTGGGGTATTCCAATATCTCTTAACAAAAAAGACACTCTTCCAAAATAAGGTTTAAAGTTAATGACTGGTCACACTTTTGACATCTGGGGATAAAAGATCTTTTGTTATCAGGTGGAGGAGGTGTGTCAGTCTAATATGTCCGATCCTAAGCCGTGTGAGGACAACCTCTTCTCTACGACTGCTGCGTTTTGAGCTGCTCCACGGTGCACCTCTTTCTTTATTGTCTTTAATTTGATAGGTGCGCTGTTGTCCCACCGTCTTCACCATTCTTGGGATATGGTTTTTCTTAAAGGTTGTGCAATTTCAGATGGTGTCAAAAAAGCTTTACCCCGGCCTGGAAGAATAAGAGCTTTTTTTGCTGCTCTATCAGCCATTTCGTTTCCTTTAATGTCTATATGGTCAGGCGAACAGATAAAATGTGCCGTTGTTCGAAATCCATGAAGTATTTTTATAAGATTTAAAATGCAGTATAACCCTGGATGGTCTGGATACATGTTATTCATGGCTTTTAGAGTACTTAGAGAATCTGATAGCACAACCACATTTGCAACTGGCTTCTTCATGACATATCGGAGACTCATTGCGACAGCGTTAATCACATGTTATTAATTAATTGTGTTTAGCTATAAACAAATATATTTTAAAATGCCCATTAACAGTACTTCACTCGGAAATGCTTTAAAAACATTAGCTGATGCCTCTGTATAAGGAAAGATCTTAAACTAAATCTACTCAAATTGATAGAAGACATACAAAACTATATCCATTACCCTTATCTATTTGAATCAACCTACAAGAAATGAGAACATCAATCTCTACCCTACACCATCTTATTTACATATAACAAAACCTACTCGAAAACTGCTACCAATCAAGCTCATTATCAAAAGTTAATTGAAAAAAGATGCAGAAATATTAAAGAAAGAATTCAAAACCGTCATAAAACCAAAAGATTTACAAAATTTGAATCAATAAAATTTCGACTAATAGAGACTCTATTTTAATCGAAACCAACACAGAAAATGAAAGAGAAATAATTCAACAAAAACTTCAAAACATACAAGATCTAGTTGTCTGGCAAGAAAACCAAGATTAATTTTTAAAGACATTGACGAAGAAGTGAATATAGATAATTTGACCAAACACATCATGAGACAGAACGTAACACTGGAGACTGAACAGAGTCCAATAAGGCCTGATATCTTTTTGAAGAATCAACGGAATAACAGGATCCACACTAATCGAAACCGATGCTGTCACTAGAACTAAACTAATGTACAATAAGGTAGGATGAGGCCACAAGGCTACCACAGGTGTACCAAGTGCTGCAAGTTTCACCTCTCTGAGGAACGGTGTCAAGGGGTTAAGGGATGACTACCTGTCCCAAGGGTAGCGGCAACCACCAGCTGAAGGACTGCAGCGAACCAATCCGTAGGTGTCCCAACTACTTTAACTTTAACCGACATGTTCGACAAGACAAAAACAAAATATAAATTAACCATTCTGCATCAGGAAAGAAAAAAATAAAAGGTTCTCAAGTTGATGCGCTTGGTGAAGGATCTATTTGGAATTAAGCTACCTATAACTGTAATTAAAAGATATCAGCTCACTTACATTTTGCTAGTTGTTGACATATCCAAGAATTTTTCCTATTTTAAGCTCATAGATCATTTACTAATTTTGAATCCACTGTAGTTAGCTGTACGAAAGTAAAGATGTAGGTATAATCAGTGGTGGACTTTAAAAGCTAGTCAATAGAGAAGTACTCCCAGTGCAGAATACTAAGTCAGAAAATAACAATTTATCTAATCCAAAAGGCAGTTTGATAACCCAAAAAGTATTCAAACCTGTTCCTACCCCTTCAGGATTCCTAAGCCAGGGATTCAGGGATTAGAGCATGATAAATCTAAGTATGAACTTATTCTCTGCTTTTAAAAAGCCAAAATTATTACAGATTTTGATCTTTCTTATTATTCCATAAGACCAATGCATCCATCTGATGGATAGTCAAGATGTATGTATGTTTTGGGACATTTAGAAGATAAAAGGGATTTGAATAAAAATATTAAGATGTGATTTCAATTACTTAGTAAAAATTAACAAAAGTTAAGATCTGCCATAAAAGACTGTGAAAAAATAAATATGCAAATGAGCTATAATAATTCTTTGGTTTATAACTGAAAACAGAATATTTAAAGAATATTCAATTTGAGCACCAAGTGAAAGACTAGAAAAAATAAATAGTCAAACTACACAAAACTATCACTACATAAAAATATCACAGAAATGTTTCATTTTATATTAATACAAAAATAACAATTATATAAGCTTATCCTACCTTAGGAAGCCTTCTTACTTGAGAGCCAGATAGATTGATAACAGATCTTTATTCAGGCAACAGCTATTGTTGGAATGGTGAAACTGTGAACTTGTGTATTAATGGGAAAACGAGAAGGATTGGTTGATAATATTTGATGATCGGGATCGTACCTCTGCCACTCGCATATCCAGCCGTCTGGTGCTACGGTACCCTCCAGGGCTTCAAGCTCCTTCCTAGTTTTATTCAGCCAATCTTCAAGATAGCTCTTCTTCAAGCTCTTATTCTCCCAAGCACTCAGGAGGGTCTATTAGACAGAAGAATATAAATTTAGGTTTTTTTTTTTAAGTTTTACAGAGCATATGGATTTTGTTTATTTAACAAAATCAACATATCTTAAATAGACATATATTTATAGATGAACCTTACGTTCACTGAGGAAGCAAAAAAATAATTTAAAAAAAAATGCTTAGAAAAATTAGCATTGCCATTTCAGATTGAAATCTATATTGTAATCAAAATTGAAATTGTTATTTTATTTCTGTTGGCATTACAGACCATATAGATCTTTTGCCACCTTAACAAGCCAAATCTTAGCCTATTTCTTTCCATTTATCTGCACGCAACTATATTGCATCTTTGTTGATTGTCTTAATACATTTGTTTTTTGGCCTTCCAGATGGATAGCTACGAGCTACATGCCCAGCCCATCTTAACCCCTATGCCTTCATATCATGGGATATTGATTGGCCAGTTATTTTTCAGTATTCAATAATATATAAACAATGCGCTGTTAGAAATGTGTTTTCAATAAAATGATTTAGGATGCCTTTTTGCAAGAAAACGATTATCAACACATAGATATATTTTCAAATAAAAGATATTTACTTTAATCAAATAAAAAAAATATCTGTGCACAAATTATATGTTATACCAAAATAGTTGAAACTTTTAATAAAAAAAAAAGTTAAAAATATTCTTCTTGTACATCCCATGGATAATCACTCTCCATAACTGTAGTCTCCAAAACTGATTGAATTCAACATTTAGTGTCTCGGTTCTGGGATATATTGTCACCACGATGGTAGCAGTAATAATATTAAATAATGACAGTATGTTGTCGTATACTCAGACTTAGACAGAGGGAGAGAAAAAAAATTGTCAGACAGAGGAACGACAGAACCAGTTGGTGGTCATGGATTTTAATCCACCCAAAAGAAGAGATAATTTAATTATTGCAAACCCATGAATCTGTGTAATCCCAAACAAGAATAAATAGCAAACTTTTAAAATAATATATTATATTATAACTAAGGTCCAGATTTTTATGCAATTGCATATTTTGTTTGCATAAGTTTTTTTTTAACTGCTCATGAAATATCTATACGAATTAGAACACCGTGATGCAATTAGCCAAATTTTATTTTGCATATTTGAGGATAAATGCATATTTTGATAAATTTAATGAAATAAACAATATGTATAATAAATCTAAAGAAATATTCATTTACTTATATATACAAATTAAAATACAAAATTGAAGATACAATTCAAGATTGCAATTTTAGGTTTAATTTTAAAGAACAAAATAAAAAAATCTACCACATTTGTAGAACTAACCTTCTGCCATCCATTCAATAATTCTTTTTATGTATGTTTACCTATTCCCGGAAATCCATTTCCTCTTCTTGTCCCACGTAAACATCATTCTATGTTTCTATTTCAGTTTTTTGCCTTCGTTCTTCAAAAGAGATCATATTTCTGTTTATTCAAAATATCCAAAGTAAGTTCATCATTTTCATCAAAATTGAAATTTTGAATTGAACATTACAACAGACATGAAACAGTTCTTAAAACTGATAGAAAACCAGTGGTACCGGGCCAAGTTGAAAAAATAGAAGTTTTTATTTTAAAAAATCAGGTCTCACAATTCTAGAAGGTATTAATAAAATTTTAAATGGTGAATATTCGATTGTTCCCAGGTACATTGACCTCAACCCGGTAATTTTAAGTGCATATAAATTTGTCCTTATCATGCCATGTAGAAAGATAATTTTATAATTACAAAAATAAATGGTTTTGTGAGGAGTTGGTCGGGGATGCGGTCTAATAAATACTATATACTAAAATAGTATTTTATTGGTTACGCCTGTATTATATAGTATTTATTTAGAATATAGTACTTATTTGACTGCACCTCCGACCAAGTCCTCATATTATAATCACGATCAACCATCACTACACCATGATTAATGGTTTCGAAGAAGCAAAGTTAGAAATGCATCTGGTGATTAATTTCAATGCAGAGCGTCTCTGCAAAACAGACTACTTCAAATATTTTATCTATTTTATGTTATTTATTCCTCAAATTGTAAGTTATTTTAATGTCTCAACAAAGACTCAAGTTACATTTTTATCTATTAACATACACAATTTTTACTGGTTTACATACTTATTGCTTTTTTTTTATTTGTAAATACATTGTATTATTTTTATATTTTAATTTTTTTTAAGTTGTTCATGTTATGGTTTTACCATTATAATGTATGTATGTTTATCATAACCTTATTTTTCCTATATTTTCATCCTTTAGTTTAGATATTAAAAAATCTGGTACGCACCACACACAACTTTCAATTACCTTTCTACTTTGAATAGAAATTATTTTCTGGCAATTTTGAGCAATTATAAAATTTTTAAAGTGCATTTTTATCAGAGCTATAGCTTAAAACTTACAGCTAACAAATCATTAAGACCACTAAAATAGCAAAAACCCTAATAATTACATCAATGGCAGACAATAAAAACCTCGGTGCTCCATTTATACTAATTGTATCCGTTTACTAAAATTAAATTACGAGATTTTCAATCCATAGATAGGTCAAAAGTTCTCACACTAATTTGAATTGGATAATGTTTGGATTTAACAGAGGGAATAATTCATTAAATTTAATACCAATTTAACTAATTTAATTTTCTAAAAGATTTATCTTTCCGAATAAATGAACTTTGATATCTAATTATTTAAATATAATATTAGATCTAGAATTATTAAACTAAAGTAAAAATATTTAAGATTATAAACATATGCTTTATACATGCATAAAATATTTTTATATTTCACTTCTTCTTTCACATAAGTTCTATAAAATAGTTTTTTAAACAATTTGCCTTGATTAGGTGGATTTTAAATACTTTTTTAAAACTAAAAAAAGTATACAATTTAGTTAGTAAATTTCATTTAATTTCCTTGAAAACATGTTATTTCCATTAAATAATATTAGTTTTCACAAATTATTAAGAAAATTTGTTGTCACTCTCCATTACTTTCTACAACTTTCTATATTAGATATTGTTTTTTTCTAAAATTCTACGCTTTCCAACGATATTTTATACGTATAGCTTCTAACTAGTAGTTCCGGAAATTCATTTTCGACCTAAATAAACATTTTCCTTTTTCTATCCATTTTTTCAATAATCAAATTATTTTAAAAGCTATATTTAGCATTTTTTCGTAACTTTTAATAATTAGAGATAGTTAATTATTTAAAATAAACCAAACTAACTATACTTAAGAGGAAGACATTTTGAACATCATTTAAGCCCTGTAAAGTGACATCATTGGTAATAAGACCTCAATGATATTAAAGACCACTTAATTATACAAGAATACACCAAGTTTAATCAAAATTGTCAGAGCCGTTTTTGAGAAAATTGTAAAAATGCGTATAACCGTTGATATAAAGTGCCACTTTCGGTTAGTCGATTTTAACAAATAAGTTGCTGTCACATCCAAGGCATATACCTATCTTAAATAAGTAATATCAGTTACATACGACTTTACATTTTTGAGCTACACTTCACACATGCGCACGTACGTACCATTTTGAGGGACATGGTTATTTAGACTCGGGGGACCTCAAAACGTGTATTTCGGATGAAATCTCAGATTCAGAAATGTTCACGATCGCAATATTTTCCTTAACTATATATTCAATATGTAGGTAAGTGAAAGTAAACAAATACTGTAAAATATTGTAATCGCTCCATTTTGTTTTTTTATTTCAAAACTTTTTGTAGGTATATTACAATATCATTATATTAATAATATAATGATGTGCCGTATAATATAATATTATACATTACTGACAGATTAGTAATCAAATAATTAGTAAGTTTAGCATGATTAGTGATCAGTTACTGTATTTTTCTTAAATTTTTTTTACTGCTTATTTTAGGGGTTTTTACTGCATAAAAATCCAGGCCTTGATTATAACAAATCATAAGAAGGGCACTAAACTTAATTCATAAACAATATTCTTTCTTTATGGTATTTTGCAGTATATAAAAAAATACTATAATGAAGCCAAATAAAAAAAATCTATTGGATTTTTAAACAAAGAAAAAACTGATTATAAAAAACTAAGGCTGCTAAAATGATTGAGAGTATTATTATACCTCCAATTGAATGGTCCAAATTTGAACGGGTGGGACCGGTTCCTTCCTTTCAGATAGATATCGCATTTTGTCTTGAAGCACAGCGGAAACATCTTTAACATCGGTATCACTTTCTTCGTCATCTTCTTGAACTTCAGTTACTGCTAAAATATACAAATAATTAATTTATACCTAATAGCGTAACTACTTTTACTTCAACCAAAAAAATTTATAGAACAAACAATCTAAAAATCATTCCCACGTATAAATACAATTACTAGTAACTTGTTGCTTATAAGTATATGATTTATTTACAGCCAAAGTGCAAAAGCCAGCAAGAACAATTCTACTGGAAGGCATGGTTTAGAACTATCATGTCAATCTTGAACTCGCACATATTTAGAAATACATATGAGAGATATTAGTAAAAACACAAAATCATAAATGTATAGGAATATCTAGTATTTTTCATTACTATGTAAATGAATGATAAAAAATTAATTAAAAAAAATTTTATTGAAGGAAGCTAGTCGACTGTTCTACATATTCCAAGGTGATAAATATTCAGGACGCAGTCATTATAAACATTTTATTTTTTTTTTATTTGTGCCAACGTTTCAACCCAAATATGTGGGTCATCAACAAGAAGAGAGGTTCGAGCACTGAAGGTTTTCAGCTACTGCTTTAGAAGTTCGGCTTTCGAGTATTTGAAAGCCTTCAGTACTCGAACCACAACCTGATGATGACCCACATGTTTAGGTTGAAACGTTGGCACAAATAAAAAAAAAAACAATTTTTTATAATGACTGCATCCTGAATATTTATCACAAAAAAAAAAATTTAATCATTTTTGAGGCATAATCCTCGCAAGCATGAAGAGGCTGGCTAGTATCAAAATAGATATATTTATCTAAGAAGCAATTACCTCAATTATGGTTAGACCAAACTAAATAAACTTTTTTATCAAAATATTCACATTGTACTGAAGTTTACATCTATTAAATTTATGATCTTTATGTTTAAGATTTTAAAACAAAGAGTTGGATTAATAGACATCATCAAGCTACAGATCATTGTGCTTAATAACAATTAAAAATATTAACTTTTTTTAATATATTAAATGCAGTGATTAATTTAAGAGTTTATATTTTTCGTCACGATAGTATTTTATATATTTATTTATAATGATTATTGTTACTATATATATAAATTTTTATCTTAAACATTCTAAAATTTAAAAAATAAATGAAAAAAAATATAAATTAAATAAAATAGACATGGACGTTGGCAAAGCATAAAGAAAAACAATAAACCACCATACATATTTAGTTACTTTGGTAGAAAGTTTTTGAACAGTACTTAATTTACTTATAAATGGTGTCTCCAAGGATATATATAAGCCCTTATGGTTTAACTATTTATTCAATTTTTAATGACATTTCGAGCAGTTTGCTAAATAATCACTTTGAATCTTTTTTTTTTTTTAGAATTGACAAGCATTATACAATATAGGAATAAAATGCGAGGAACATGGTAATTTGTACTTTTGTAGACCAAAAATAAGATATAATAGAATAACATAATGGAAAGATTTTTGAAATTATTGAGTTTCAGTAAGTTCTCAAAGTAGTATTGGCATCATACATTTAATTGTCAATTAGATAATTATTATATTATATTATCACGGCGCTACAACTTGGTGGAGAGTTTGGTCTCCTCCAGTCATCTCTGTTCTGAGCGGCCATATCTCGCTCCTGACTCTCAGGACATCCCTTGAATCTCTTGCCACACCGTCTGACCATCTTAGTTTTGGTCTCCCTCTTCTTCTTGTAGCTTAGAGAGGTTCTGTTAATAATAATCATTAGATAATTAATGATTATTATTAACAATGTTTTTTTTTTTACTATTTGTAGATGACCCTCATAGGTTGTATTGATACAGGTAGACGACTTGAGAATGAGCAAACTGCTTCATTAAAAATTTAATAAATAGTTGAACTATTAGGGCTTTTACATATATCCTTGGAGACACCATTTGTAAACAATAAACCACAATTGAATAACACAGCAGGTTGTTGAACAACATAATAACCAAGAAAATGTGGGGCGTCTCTAAACCTCTCAAATCCCTAAAACTCTCCTATTATTATCTCCTTAGTATAGAAATTAATCTTAATGGTTTAAATACATACTTAACATCTGATTTGATTTTGAATTGATTTTCTTGAATAAACACAAAAATTTAAAAGCATCATTAATCAAAATAACCAACATAAATTATGAAATATTACAAAAAAAAATAATAATAATGTTTAGAATATACCTTTGTTATCTTCTTCGGAAAGATGAAAAGTATCGGCTTTGACAAAGGTGATTCTTTCAGCTTTTATTTTATTTTGATCTTCTTTTGCTGCCACAAAACCAAAACCACCTCTGCTTCCCTCTTCTCTAGGTTTAACCTCTGTACTTTTCCCATTTTCATTCGAAAGGAGTGATGTAGGTATGCCTAATCTTGTGAGTTTTTTTGCTTCCACAACAGTTTCTGTCTCACCTAAAAAAAAAAAATAAGAACTTATTCTCATCTGAAATAAATTAACAAACAGATAAAATAAAAACAAAACAGGTTAATATCATCTGTTAATTGTTGGTTCAACTAATAACGTTAAAAGCATGTTTAGCTGTTATTTTAAAGGTGCCATCTATTGGTTGTCACATTGATGACATCTATCGGCATTGGGATCTTCACCAGAGTCCAACATAGGGGACCAAAGACCAGGTATACCTGAGAACAAGCAGAATTGTCTCCATGATCTAGCATACAACAAGTATGTCTAGGTAGACTCGTTAAGAGAGATCAGAGATGCCCGCACATATTACTGTATTAAGATACACTGCAGCAGCAGCCCTCGATGGGAAATTTTAAGATTTATACACCTTCATATACATCTGAACAAGACACCCAGAAGTATACGCAGAAGCCAGTCTCTCAATTTTCATCAACATCCCTTTTATCACATCATCCGCATCTTTACCAATCCATGAAGAACAAACCAAATTTATTACTAACACATTAACCATAAATGTACATTTTGGTCACACTTCAATAGTACTAATATTATAGTACTGATATTTCTACTAAATATATTAAATCAATATATTTTATGATAAATTTTAAGTTTGATTCATTTTCAAAATCTACGATGCACACCTCCTTCTGATCAATTTAAGCATCTAAGTCCGATTCCTCCCTACTTTGGGATAAAGGAAAGCCTAATGCCCTTCACAAACAATAATAACAAATGGATATTTGTTGCAGCTACAGAGGACTGTCCCTGTTGAGTATGACTGGTTTAAAGAAGGTAGTAGATTTTTGTTATTCAAATTTTGAATTAAGATTTTCAGTAATAAATTTTAAAAGGTGTATAACACAAAATTTATTACTTAATATCATAATTTCAGTAAATAAACTCGAATTTATAAAGAGTATTTTTGTTTAATTATTTATAAACATATAGTTTTTTTTTTGTTATATTTTATTCTTGCTGAATCAGACATTTTAACCACCTTAGAGAGGGAAAATCATCGCAAGATATTGATAAACATTCAAGTAGAGAAAAAAAAAATAATAAGCCTGTCTAATAAGCAAAAAAAATATATTAAAACAGTAAGCTGAAATAAAATATAATGTTTACCTTCATCCTTCTTCTGTATTGCTGGCTTGAGCCCATCAGGAGTTTGAACAAATTCTGTAGCTCTGGCTTTGGCAGTAGTTGAGCTTATATTTATAAGCTTTTTAGCCCTTGCTGATAGTTTTAATTTTAAATTCTTACTTTCTTCTTTTAGAGTATTCTTAACTTTAGAATCATCCAATTTTGTTTCTTCCTTATCATTTTTATCTACAATTATACTTTTAACTTCTTCTGGGATCTCTCCCCCTAATTCTTTAAGTACTTGAGATTGACTCTTGAGGCGATCGAGGAGACTGTTTTCATCGTCGTCATCCTCTTTAATAGGAATGCTTTCAATTTCATCCTTTTTTGTTTCAACAACAGGATTGTGAGCTGGACTAGGAGCATCGTGCGAATCTTTTTCAACACGAGAAGGTAATGGTTCTGGTATTGAGATTTTTGAAGTTTCCGTTTGTTCATCGGTATCTGATTCATTCTCAGGATGATATGGAACCAAACTGCTTTTCAGTAGTTGTAATGGCCTGTTGATTCTGCGAATTTTGTTTTTGGGCAACTGCGGTCCCATTGGTTTAGCATTCGGTTCATTGTCTTCAGTTTTCCTCTTCTTAGTTTTTGCTGTTTTCGGCGTTTTCTTTTCAGTATCTGAGGATTCTTCATCAGAGAAAGGTCCATAAGAAGTTATTAATTCAATTCTCCTGAAAAAATAGATACATAGAATTAATTATTCAATTATAATAAATATATCCACCACTCAAATTATTTATATAATAATATATAAAAAACGGTTCCAATAATTAATTTAAACAGATTGATAGAATTTTTAATAAATTCAGGGTGTCTACTAATTTCGGTAATTGAATTTCCTCCAAAAATACTTCTTTTTTTTTTACTTTTTACAAACCCATATATGTAATATATAAGGAAAAGTATTGCGTTTATGAAAATTTTGCAATCCGAGTTTTCAACGGAAATATATGTTTTGAGGTCCTCTTGAGTCTAAATAACCATATCCCACAAAATGGTCAGGGTGAGTGTATGTATGAACAGTCTAGCAAAAACATAGTCATGCACAACTGAAATTGCATATTTAAGATTTGCACATGTCTGGGATGTTACAGCAACTTTTTCGTCATAATTGGCTGACCAAAAGTGACCTTTTATATCAACAATTTTACAAATTTTTACAATTTTCTCAAAAACGGCTGAAACGATTTTGATTAAATTCATTATACACATATATCTACGGCTGTAGGATTAATGATATGTAAATTTTAATACATTTTATCTGTTATTTCACATGTGAGAAAGATGACTGACTAAATTTGATAATTGAAACTACAACAATATTAATCATCGCCCTAAAATGAAAATAAGATCAAACAAGAAAAGTAAATAATTTCAATTTTAAAAAATAAATTTGAAAGAAAATCATGAAATGGCCAAAAGATAAATAAAAATACTCACTCATCTTCTGAGTCACTCTTTTTTTCTATCTTTTTTTTATTTTTCTGTCCAACTTGTTGGCTCTTAACTGCTTCTTGCTTTGTTACATTTTGTTGTTGATCATGAGCATGTTGTAAAAGCATTTGGTGTTGTTGGATCTGCTGTTGTACTCTGGCTTGAAGCAAAGCTGCAACTGGTATCAACAGTAACATAAAAAAAAGAGGTATAACAATAAATAACTTAAGTTATTTTTAGAAAATTAAAAAAAAAAAAGTATAAGTGTATACATTTTTAAATTTAAATTATTTTTAAGTGTAAAAAAATAATGTGGTAAGCAGATAATTGACCATAATTTTAATTAAAGGAGAAATTTGTCGGGGGTATGGTCAATAGACACATACTATATATTCCAGTAGCATTTATTTCATTTGCCAACATTTCGACCTATTACACAGGTCAAAACATTGTTAATTAAAATAAATGCTAATATAACATATTGTATGTATATTGAATGCACCCCCAATCGACTTCCTCATAAAAAAAATAAGTTATCTGAGATTGTTTGGCTGATTCGAGTTTTTGTATTTAACTTTAAACTTTGAGCAAGATAGGTGTCACTATGTTACAGCTTTTTGAACAAGTTATTGTTGAATGTTGCTTTAAAGATTGTCTTTTCACGTAATTAGATGCGACACAACCATGGAATAAGATATATAAATTATCCTAATAAACAGTTAAATTATCCTTGAAAGATCTTAATGTTTCTACTTTTGTAAACTTTGCTCATATCCTTACGTTTCTCATTAGTTAGTTTTTTTCTGACTGTGATTTTTGTTTCTCCTGCGAATAAGGTAAATAAACAAATCACTGCTTTACAACTGTTCTACATTTTTTAATTCATGCAAAATCTAAACTCATGGATGTCAAACTCGCAACTGTTGAGGGATTACTGGATGAAACATTTGAAGCGTTTGTTTCAAGGATAAATTATAAGCTTCTCTTGGTGAAATAAAATACAAATTAAAATAAATAAACATCTATTAACCTCCTTGAGCCTGATATTGCTGCCACTGTTTCAAAGCTTCCATATATGTTTGATATTCCGGAGGCATATCCCAAGTAACTTCATTGGTTTCCATATTCCAGTAATATGTATACCCTGTACTGCTATCATAGCACTCTTGCCATGCTGTAAAATAAGAAGAGGATAATATACACAAATAAAACCAAAGAAAAAAAGTATTAAAAATATGACATAATTAAATAGTTTAACTGCTAATAATGGTCACGGACAGACACAGCACCATAACAAGAAGAACATCAATGAATGACCATGTTTAGATCACTGGAGCCAACCCTCCAACAAAATAAATAAAGAAAGAATGAAATTTTTTGAAACAATTTTTCTCGATTTCCTCTTTTCTATAAAGAATGTGTGTAAATTTCAAGTTTTTTATCTAATCCAAGACATTAAAATTAATTTATGAAAGTATTATAGAAACCGTTTGAAATGATTTTTTAGCTTTTATTTTGAAGGTTTCGCACACTGGACTCGGTCAATAAAATTTTTTATTGAAGGGATTCTGGTTTCCATAAAATTAGTGTTTTTTTATCATTCAATTGACAAAGATAGCAATGCTTTAGTTATGTGCTTAAACATTTTTTATTTAATATATATATTATTACTATTGATTATAATTTTACATTATAATTATGTAACTTTGGAAGTAAAATTTATTAATACATTCTATACTTTTATTACAACACTTACTATAACAGCAAATTTGTACCAAGATTCATAAAAATAAAATAAATTATTACCAACAGTTGGCGCAGTCGACTGATCATACTGCTGCATTGTAGCATCCGAGGAAGAAATTTTATTAATAGCTTGAGCTTGAGCCTGAAGTTGAGCAGCTATAGCTTCATTAGCTAATTGTTGCTTTCGATCATCTTCATATAAAACATCGATTTCCTAAAGATAATGAAAACAATAATAAATATCAATTGATAATATTAACAATAATCAATTCTATGAGAAGGAGTTAGTCGGGGGTGCGGTCAAATAAATAATGAATTAAAATATATTATTTATTTTTATTTTTGTTTCAACCCACTTTACAGGTCGTCTTCAGGGCTACAAAAGATACAAAACATGTTGAAAATAAAAAATAAATATAAGTATATATAAAATAAGAAGAAGTTGTCAGATACAGAAATAAAAGATGGTATCAGAGATATAGTGGGTGACAATGTAGTTAAAAATTAAACTAAATAATATATTTTAATTCATTATTTATTTGACCGCACCCTCGACTAACGCCTTCTCATATTATATCAACAGTCAACCATCTCTACATCATTAATAATCAATTTTATATTACACAAATGATAAAAAATTAATTTTATTTCTCACCAGCAACAAAACCACGTCTTCTTTCCTAACAATTATGTGGATAATTAAAAATTCAGTATTTTTTTAGGCCTTCACACTTATGTTAAAATAACAATATTAAATAAGATATAGAATAATCATAATTTATACAAAGTAAAAATATCACAAACCTTTAATTTAATTTTGGAAGATTGATTTCTACATATTACGGAATCAGATTCCCTGACTATTCCCAAGCTTACAATAAACTTCCCTAACCCTCCCCTACAAATTAAGGAAGTGAAAAAAAAAAGAAAGAAGTGAAACGCAAAATTATTGTAAATATTGTGAAATTTATTAGTAACTTAACAATGACAAATATAGAGTAATGAAAATTATAAGGCAAACCAAACTTAAGTATGGTCCAAATATTATAGAATATCATTTTTTATTTACAAAGTAAAAAAACCATTGATTCCCTACATTAATTCCAACTTCCGAAGAATGAGAAATTAATTTCATTTTCATTCAGTTACTCCTAGTTAAAGTTAAAAATAATTTGGACAATAAAATATTATACTTAGCACACTTTCAATAATGTAGGTAATATTTTTATTTGAAATACAAAGGGTAAGAAAGTAATGACTGAAACAAAGGCAAATTATTAATGTATTTTCTTCAAATCTTATTTCATAAACCATTAAGATAAATTGTATTTCTTTTAACTATGATGGTTATCAAAATGTTATCTATTAAACAATTCAAAAAACATAAACTTAAATGATTAAATGAAATAGGCTAATTAGTTTCAATCTTAAAATTATTTTTACTCAAAAACATGTTCTTATATGAATAAAACAAGTGAGTTATAGAAAACTCGGTACTAGTTCACAAGAGTTCCGCACGGATTACGCGTGGTTCACAATCACTTCGATCACACTTGTTCATGGAATCATGAAAACAGCCGAATGTTGTCGTCTATTATGACGTCAGCTATTGCCCCATTACACAACCCTTTTTCACGCATTTTTGAGGGAAAAAAATAGCGTATTCCCTTCATGGAACTTCCTTATTAACAATTTATTAGCGAATTGTGTATTTACCAATTAGTTAATTATTAATTTTTATTATAACGGTTATCACTGTGAAAGAAAAAGAAAAAAATACATAAAATAATGTTTGAGTCGTTTCTTCAAGGCCTGTTAAAAAAAATGGTTTTAGAAATTACATTTTTATTGAAACTTGCTTACATGTAGTGGCTTTAAATATGCATATACAGTATATTATCTTTTATAACTGTGTATAAAAGATTTTTTTATCATTTGGATAATAAAAAATTTGAAGTAATCTATTATATAAACTTATATTATAATTATAATAATAATACGAGCGTCCACTATTTTCTAGTGGGGGGGAGGGAGCGCTTTGTATCCTTATACTGTCTGATTTGAGATTAAGTATCAAAGTTTATGTAACTTTTTTGAATTCTTAAATATACAGATCCACTATTTTCAAGTCGTCAGAGCTTTTTATGAATACACTGTCGGATTTAAAATTGTTTGTCTATTTTTTTTTGGAGATTTTTGGATTTCTTAGATATAAGAGTCCACTAATAAGTTGTCAAGGACACTTTTTATGAAAATAATGTCAGATTAAAGATTTATGAATATACTGATAATTCCAAGATAATGAATAATGAAAATCACCAATAAAAAAAATTATATCGTGAAATAGCATTCAGAGATGTAATAATTAAAGATTTTTAATGATGTAGAGATGGTTGACCGTTGATATAATATGAGAAGGAGTTAGTCGGGGGTGCGGTCAAATAAATACTAAATTAAAATATAGTAATTATTTTATAAATTTTATAAAAAATGAATAAAAATAATAATAATTCTCCTTTATTTTTATTTTTATTCATTTTTTATTCATACTTATTTTCCATTTATTTGTATCTTCTACATATATAATACTTAATATTTTATTACATTGTCACCCACTATATCTCTGATATCTTTTATTTCTGTATCTGACAACTTCTTATTTTATATCTACTTATATTTAATTTTTATTCTCAACATGTTTTGTATCTATTGTAGCCCTGAAGACGACCTGCAAAGTGGGTCGAAACGTAAGAAAAATTAAAACAAAATAATTACTATATTTTATTAATTTAGTATTTATTTGACTGCACCCCCGACTAACTCCTTCTCATATTAAAGATTTTTATGTATTACTATTTCTTTTTTACTGATCTATAATATATGTACAAGTTCAATTCAGGTTTCATGATGTGTAGCCTAAATTTCGAATGTAAGTCGGCTCCTGCTATATAACTGAACATAGTTAAGGTTATAGAAGTACTTAAATGGCGAGAAAGTTAATAGTAACTGGCAAAAGAGGAGAATCGGTCGCCTTCGTTCTCTTTCGGATAAACCCGAACGCATTTGGGATTCCAGGAACAAGTGTGATCGAAGTGATTACGAACCATGCGTAATCCGTACGGAACTCTTGTGAACTAGTACTGAAAACTCTTTTTAGATGTTCGAAAATTTCCCTTTTATTATCTATTGATAATTCATGGAGTATAATATGTAGAACATAAAATGATTTTTTAATTCAAATTTATAACCTATACTACATACCTTCAAAAAATTTTGAACTTCTTCATTAAGTTCAGATTCACCGCTAGAGCTGTCAGAGCTCAGGTATCCTGAAAGTCCATCAAGGGCGTTACTTCTAGTTTCATCTTCTTCCTTTCCATCATTTTCTTCAGTACCGTTTGTTACATGAGTAGCACAAATTTGTTCATACTTTGCTGGAATTTTAAATAAATTGAGTTATAATCATTTTTGTTTAAATTGTCACCTCAAAAACTTAAGAAAAAATCTATATTATTATGAATAAAATAGATGGCAATAATATGAATATTGAAACAATGTCTTAAATATTTACAATATCCAGAAGACAAACATATTCTGGAGTGCAAGAAATCACAGCGTAATCACTATGTATTTTACTCATACATTACTATATTTAAATGTACTATTGACAAGTATGTATTGTCAGGGAACCATAATACATAATTTTTTTTTCTTATGGTTTCTGTTATAAATTACCATAACAATGTTATACCTTATGATAATAGCAATGTAAAGGAGCATGTAATCAGTACTAGTAAACAAGTGTCAGAGATATACAAAAAGTAATCAATGCAAACATTCAATTGTCAAAATATTTAGAGATTTATTTAGAAATCGCAAAAATAGTTTCTAGTATATATTTATTTATCATTTTTATTGTAAATCTTGGCTTACCCTCAACAAACTATTATTTTGAATGCCATATTGGTTAATCACCAATCAATTTTAATCTATATTCAATTAACGATCAAGAGAGAGTATAAATCTGCAGTACTTTCAGAGTGAAAATGATTAAGTGTAATTCCATAACATGGCTAAAAGGGAACATTATGAATTATAATAACTTAAAATAATAATTATTTATTCAGTCCTATCTAAATGGTACATTACGAAGACATAAATTAGGCCAAAGTTCTGATCTAATGTCATTCAAGGGACAGGGTAGCTGAGTGGGCTAACGCGTGTGTAAAATAAGCATGGCCCAGCAACCTGATAAAGCAAATATTACGAATTTAAACTCTGATTCCTAGGAGACTTTTAACTATGGCATTGATTCCCGCCAATGCATAGTCGTATAAGGCGAGGGAGGGGAGAAAGAAAAAAAAATAATAAGATGCAATTTCATTAACCATATAGAATCATCTGTGGACCTTCAAATGTCTTTTTGCAGGTCTAACAAGCACTGCTGGTTTCTGCCTAAACAGGGTGCAAGAGCTCAAGCGAAGCATTGGTTAGAGTCAAATAGGTCGTTAATCCTAAAATTCAACATGGATCAGCAATCACTCCACCTCTGCTCATAGCTTTCAGATTGAGATAAATAACAAAAGATTTTGTATTCTTACTTTCTCACAAGTAATGAGTAATGGAGTATAAAATTAGAAAATCTGTCCAATAGTAATAAAATTTAGAAATAAAAGCACAGATTAAGGTAGATAAAATAGATGGATGAAGGAATGTTGGTGTATGTGAAATTTTTCAGTTATCACATTGAACTTTCACCTTTAACATAGGTATGATTGAAGAAATTTAATTTTATATTGAATTTTCAATAGAAATTGCAAAAAAAAACCTTTAAATAAACAGGCTAAATCTAAATGAAGAAGAATATCTTAAAGTAATATTTTCTCTTTTTAGGGAATTTTTGTAATGTGTTTCAGCACAAAAGAAGATTATCCTATACCATAAATGGGAGGGTATAGAAATAAAAGTTTAAATTTTAAAAAAAGTAGTAGGGAGGCATACATACATGGGAGGATACATGTATTAATTTGTAAATGAAATTTTGGTAACCTGAACATTCAACAGTGAATTATAATATCGATGGGATACCTCAGTACTAATCAGTCAAACTTTTATACAAAGTTATATTATATGATAAGAGAAAAAAATCCAGTCATTTTTAGATTTAGATAGAAATTAGATATACTTTAAAATATAATAGAGAACAATTTTAATTTGACAAACTATAGTGTTCAGGGTAATCCTATATCATTACTGATATAATCATAATAGTCCTTGGCAGAAAAATTCTGATGAACCAACAAAGTAGTTATTATAAATGAAATTGTACTACTTTGATTTTTTTATTAACTCTAAATACATGTAATGCTTTCAGTGCCAAATTTGTAACAGCGATTAGATAAAGTTCATAAAGCAGGGGTCACAACACTAATTTATAGCTACATTCTGTCACCAGCATCACATATTGAGGGAACACTTCTATTCTTTAAATTAAAAATGTTAGCAGGGTAACAAAAATATTAACTCTCCTTATATTCATACCTACACCAATTTTTTAATATTTTAGGCTTTAAAACTACTTTCAATAAATTGAATTTTATTTTCCCCTCGAATATCTGTGATATTGCGTAATAAATTTTAGATAGAAAATTACCAAAATACAATTTCAATTCTCTTTTTTAAGCATTAGCCATGTTTAGAGTCCCTTCAGAAGACTCTTCAAATTTAAATTTGTGAAAGTCTAGATTAAAACTATTTATATATTTTTCTTCTAATGTTTACTGCAATTAAATAAAACAAAATTTCAAAAATCCATACCTCGCCTAATATTTATTTATATTTTATTTATCTGGATGTTGAGACAAATAACTAAAATTGTCGCATATTCAATGGTTAAGTTTTAACCCTCAAACTTTGTTTATTTTCTCATTAATTTAATAATTATTACATGCTTTGATATTCAATTCACATTCCCTAAGACTTAAAAATATTTTACTATTGGGATTAGATGGGGCCTTGATATCTAGGCTCAATATAGCCATTTATTGTTTGGAAACTCGACATGGCAAAATATTTTTAGGAGTCTAGAACATGCATTAATTTTTCATTTGTTAACAATTTTTCTTAAACTCGCTAATAATGTGCACAAGGAATTAAATATTATACTAATTTATTTATTATACCACCGTATCAGTAAATGGTTAGTCCTCAAGGGGCTAATGATTTATTATTCTTAAAAGTAAAGACTATATTTTAATAAGCAAAGCATCCTGTGAACCTAATACAAAATATTCCATAACAGACAGAAATGTTGGTAATAAAATACAATTACGTTTAACAATTAAAATTATAAATGAATACAATTACATAGCTTCAGACTTTACTTCAAAAATGCAAACAGTTATACCCTATTTAGTTCAAAGCATTCAAACAATTGGTTTTAGGAAAAATTTTCATTGATTCAGTCTCGGCCATAGAGAAGAATATTATCTTCAGAGGTCAAGGTAACACCTATTGCAATTATTTTTTTTAAAAAAGCAATTGATGTCAGTTGTTTCAATTAGGACAGACAAAGATGAAAGAGTTAGGCCGACCGGCCACTGAAAGCGCAGCTTCCAAAACCGAACCAAAGGTTTTTAATAGCCGGACGGCCACCAGAAGCTTAGCACAGATGAGCGAGCACAGTATAGCAAGGGTCAGCTTAAGTCAGCTTTGGTACAACCAGGGTTCGAATAACCACTTAGCTTCTCCCACCACATCTGCTCACCACTATCATACAACTGTGGGGCTTTTTTCATCAGTGTCACCCATTTTTTCCATTTGTTTTCACTGCACAATCTCTCAAATTATTCTATTTTAGTTCAGAATATAATATGCAATGGATGTGGAAGAATTCTCAATCGAATGTGAAAAGGAAAATATTCAATTTTTCTTTTCAACTCCAACATGATCAGCTTTGCTAATTTTTTTAAATGTTATATATACTATATATATTATTTAATAATGTTATACGGAATATGAGAAGGATACCGATGCAAGGCAAGTTGCTGACTGAGCTGAGCTCCGCTAAGCAATCGGTTGCTTACCCCCTCTGGCTACGCTCAGCTCAGATGTGCTTTTGGTGGACGGTCAGCCTTATGGGCCTATGTGAAAATAAGACTAAATTAAACAAAATTAAGATAACTCATTACTAAAGATAATTCAAAACTAACTGGTTTTGATGAGATAATAATTTATGTTTCCTTGAGTCCCAGAACACAAATAGTGAGAGCATCCTTAAACTTTCATAACAGTTATTTCAAACAAGAAATGTTAAGAGAAATTCATAAAATGATTGTGTACAAGTACACTAAACACACATATTAAGTATTGTTTATACATAAATGGTACTGAGAAAATAAGCAAAGCTAAAAGAAAAGAGAACTTACTATAGGTAAGTTATAATCTGATGCTGACCCACTCAGGGATTTCTTTAAGTTCGAGAAAGCAATTGAGATCAGAAATTAACCTCTGACCTAAAACTACAGTATCACCAAAATGTTTGCAACTTAATTAAGTGATATTATATAAACCTCGATCATCAGTCTTTAAATAAATAAATATTGTATAAAATCATCAAAAATCATAAAGGTTAAAATAAATGGATACAGTAAGTAATATCAATTAGATATAGTAAAATATCAAGTAACATCCATAGCAAGGTAATTTATTCAGAACAACCAAGTTGATGAGTTACAGACCAGTATGATCTTCTGGAACTAGAAATTGGTTAAGTTGTCAGTCTTAAACTAAAGTGTAAACCTTTACAACACAGTTAAAAAGTTTTTAGTTACTTAGGGTTTCAGTAAACATATATTATAAAGTATCAGGTCATAGGAATAATATCCCATTAATTAACTAAGAATATTGAGCATACTCTGACAAAAATTTCAAGTAACCCTATGAGTGAGATATCTACATAAAATAAAAGTTCAATAAGTGACCAATCAAACACTTCTCATTAAAATAACAAATATATAATCTTGAATCCAAACCTGTTAGTTTTAAGTTTTAGACACTTACATTTCCAAGTTAGCCTCTGGGGCTCCTTTTTACTATTTTCAATGGGAAGGGCTTCTTTCTTAGACCCATGTTTTTTCATTCCCATCGTATTGTCGGCATGGATCTACAATACGAAAGCGATAAAAACAAAAATGAATAATACAAACTGCATTTAAATGTACTATGTATCATTCAACAAGTAACTAAAGAAAAATATACACTGTCACTAAATTCACACTGCTAAAAATTCTTGACTATACTCAAGATCAGAATCTTCAGCAATACACCATAATAAAACATATTCGCAAAACAAATAATTCAAAGTGTTGTAAATAATAACAGATCCAGTTCAAAAACGTTTATTACCTTATTACATCACGTGGTAAATACAAATAAATAAACATAAAAATCATAAGCTATACACAGAATAGGGAGACATCAAAAACAATAAATTCCAATTCCTATAAAATAATAGGGTCTGTTCCAAGGAGCAGTCCTGGACTGTTTTCACATGCGCAGTACAGGTTTGGTGGCCTAACAAGGCCACCAAACTCATACTGCGCATGCGAATACATTCCAGGACTGCTCCTTGGAACAGATCCAATAACTATATACTTCGGAACAAAACGTTTTGGCAAATCGGTAGCGTTAGTGAGTGACTTGATAACATGCCTAATTTTGGTTTACTTAATTTTGGCTTCGGCGTAGAAAAGTAGTCACGTTGGTCATAATGATTTATTCCATTAACTCATATTCAATGTTACCTGGCTAATTAAGTTGTTCACTTTATTCTCAAAATTAATATTTATTAATTAATATAAACAACTAAACCCGTTGAGTATTGTAACTTTTATTTAAATTATTCATAAAACAGGTGTCTCCCATTATTTGGAAATAGTTTGATGTAATTTTTATCCTAAATTTAAAGAATCGAATTATTAATTGACCCTTTAAACAAATGTTAATTTTTTCTGTGCAACTAAGCTCGAAAAAATTTTAATTCGAATCAGGAAGATTCTCATTTTTGGAAAATTTAAATTTTGTCAGTAGCGGATTCAGGATTTAATTTTGGGGGCTTCAGCCCAAAACCTTTTTTTTTTTAGATATATATTATGATTAATTAATTGGAAGAAAAAGAAAGAAACTAACTTTCTATATGAAATTGTGTTCAAATGATTCTTGAAGTTCTACTAAATGTAATTTTATGAACAATAATTCTTGCAGAGATTTTTTTTTCATAAGGCATTGTCATATTTTACCATTTTGGGGGGCTTGAGCAGGAAGCCTCCTCCATCCAGCCTCCAGATCCACCTGTGAATATTATTATAATGTATGAGCTTTACTGCACACAAGATTTATTTGGGTATTTGTTCTCATTGATTATGGAAGCTCAATAGTAACTAAAAAAACTATTTCTTCATGTTTTGGATTATGTCCTTTTTTTTACATCTATACATAGAGAGGATAAATTTTACTGAAAATCAGTATTTACTTATTTTAAACTAATTTATATATCTTTGTAAAGAAAATTAAACTGAAATTTTGCTAATTATCCACTAAATGACTGAGAGCAGTAGTCTGTTAAGTAAATTAACAATTTTAATTAGTCCTTAAACCAATGGCTGGTTACCATTAATGCAATAACTTAACAATGATTTAAATTTTATTTAATTAAAGATACATATGTATTGATATTATAATACTATGAGATTATTTGGAGTACATTGTTAACATATTTTCGTTGGTCACGAATTTATTCCTGAATAGAAACAAAGGAACAAAGTTGCTTTAATTTAGTATATATCTATCAGAAATATAAAATCACATTTAAAAAAAAAAAAAAAAATTTGAACTTACAATTTACAGTTTAATGAATTTATCATTTTTGTATCATCATAATTTTTTTCATTTACTTCAAATAATATTATTACCGAAATAAATAAGACTTAAAGATCATATTAAAATGATATCATGCTTTAAGCTTTGCTTTGATGAAATAGCATACATAATAAAATTTATACATAAATCATGAAATGAAATCTGACCATAATATTCTTACTCAAAATGTTAATTAACATTTTCATTAGTAAGCTAATGATATCAATAATTAATTATAGATAGATATTTCAATAAGGCTTCAAAGAACTGCTATAAATAATTCTTATCTAAGTTAACGCATTCACCATCTTATTGCCATGATCTATCTAAATATCTTTGAAATTCTTGGGAACTCCACTGTTAAATGTTCTATAGAAAATATATTATCTATTTACATGTTTTTTATATGTTTATATTTGAATATGTTTTTTGTAAAATCTCAAAAAATGAATTGTTAAATAAACCATGTAGTTGCCCTTTAACTTAAAACTTGAAGAATCGATAACAATAAATAAATAATTGTGGATTTATGGTTGACTGTAGTGAATAATTGAAGAGAAGATTGTTTGGGGTGTTTAGTAAAAAAAATAAAATAACAAGTAGAAATAAATAAATATCTTATTTATTTTTACTTTTTTTTTCATCTAACACCACAATCTTATCTTTAAAAAAAAGGGAAATGAATAAAAAACTGTTAAATAACATTGTTAGCAAACTGTTAAATAACATTGTAACGAAGTTACAGCTATTCAATTTCCAATGTAAGATTACGGGTTCATATCCTGGTGTCAGAAAGGGGTGAATGAGAGAATTTATTCTTATATGACCAAAGAAGTCATTTTTAGATGACTAAGTGAAAGTAGGATAATCTGTTGCCCGCATCACACAATCTTCACTATTTCCTCTACTTATAACAGAAATTATTGTTTGACAATACTAAGCTACCATAAAAAGTTTTTGATCAGCAACATTAGAGGGTATTGAAATTTTTACACTGGTCTACCTCAAGGAGGTTTAAATTGCTTTAATTTACCAAATAAATCATATTCAAATCTTTTGTTTGATGAATTTTCAGGAAAATAAATCTAGTTCAGTTCGTTTTCTCATGAACATATGTGAAGATATAAAAACTTTTCTGAAAGTCGTGAAAGTGTAGGAAAGTCGTGTGAGTGGACAGACCAGATATTTTTATTAGAAATTTTAATGAATATGCATTGTCTGTTTATTGCAAAAAATCTTTTAAAGGATCTGAACTTTTAAGTATATATATGTGTAAATTTTCGTTGTATTCAAAATCATTAACTACATCAAAACATCAACCCTAGTAATGTTAATAACAGTTGATCTAACAAGTGCATTATTAATAAACAATGAGCAAAAATAAGAAAAATCATTATAAATTGGCTTGTTTTTGTTAAATAAATACCAATTTATTTTTTTATATTTTATTAATCTTAATGTTATATTCTATATTGCCTTGTATCTAATTCATTTTAGCCATTAATGACTAGCAGAGCAGGTTAAAACATAGGTTTCAATTATAGTTATCACTATTCCAAGTTTTTGTTTCCTTTCTGACCTGCCATCCTGGACCATTTCTTCCTTCACAAAAGATTTTAGCTAACAGTCCCATGATATTTTTCGTCATTAGTTTTTTTCATTTCATAAACAACTAACACTAAACATACTCCAGATAAAAAATGAAACTAAAGTGTTCATAGTACAAAAAAATAAATATTACTCCTTTAAATGATTTGAAAAGAATGAAAGATAAATTCAGTGGTATTTTATTTAAAAATACACATAATTTATTTTATTTACAAAAAAAATAATAAAAACTATCATGTAGGTAATTAGAAAAATAAAACAATTTACATAGGTTTGAAACTTATTTGTTTATTGAGTCACAACATACATACAGGTATCATTTTGAAACACTGGGTTTGTCGATGCGACAAATAATTCACAAGTCAAAACAAGTGTTCACTCAGATGTGTGTTATGATTGTCATTATATTAAAATGGTAGGAGAGAACTACTGCGGTCGAGATCTGTACAAATGGAACGTGCAAAACAGATATTACATAAGCTGTCAAACAAATGTAACATAAATATAAATTTTAGAAATATATAAAAGGATAAATTTAAAAACTATAACAATTCCTCAATTTCACAGGCAGTTGGGATAAATGCGTAGAGTTCATACAATTTTAAATTATATGTCACACACATGACTGTCATACATAATTCATGTAATATTGATGAAATAAACTATGTAAAGGAATCGTATATTATACAACAGAAATAATACTGAAATTATGAGATAATATCTCAGCACTAGAATTCAAATTTTCCCAAATAAAAAAAATTATAGCAACAAAAAATTTAAAACTATTTAGTACATCAAAAGAAAAACAAGCTTTAGAACTAATTTGTACATAACTAAAAACCTCACAGGTACAACAGAAAACAAAGACTAACAACTAAATACACCATTCAGTAATTAGATAACTTCACAACCCCAAAAAAATGTTAGATATGTTCCATTTTTAAACTAAGTACAAAGGAATGATATAAAAAAATTTGTATTAAGTCACATATATTACAAATGCTGCATTTTGTAAACATAACACTGTATAACAGTCTAGATTAATTTGAATTAAATGGTTTTAAGCTTTTGCTTCAGCTTCACCATTTTCAACTTTCTCTTCTAGTTTAGCCTTCTTTTCAGGACTTGCACCTTCAGCTGACTTCTCAGTGGATTCCCCACTACCAACTTCAGATTTCCTCTTCTGTGGCAATGAGCACACATCTAAAATCAAAAATATTATTTAAATTTTACACGAAAAAGATAGGTAACTATAAATATGTTTTTGTTGATCAGATCAAAATGCATATTAAATTATTTAAGCATTTATCAGAAAGTATTAAGATATCAGTTAAAATATGCCGACAATTAAAATTAATGAAGTGATTCAACAGATGAAGGATATATACAAGATGGGTGGATTATTGTGATAAATTCGCAAATATTGAATATAAGTAACAATAAAAATAATAAATTGCTGTGAAAAATGAATACTTTTCCTATTTTTGAAAACTAAATTGGTAAGAAAACTAGCTGAGAAAGGATTGATAATATTTCTAAAATCATGAAAAGGGAAATGTTACAGTTGAAGAAACTTAAATGTAAATAAAGTTTAAAAAAATAACTCACCAGTTGCATCTCCATTTTCTACAGGTTTTTCTTCGGTTTTGCTGTGTCCATTTGTTTCTGGTTTATCTTCTGTCTTCTTTTCTTCCTTGGTTTCTTTTTCAGCAGCAGCTGCTGGCTTTCGTTCGCACACCACCTCCTTCTTCTCAGGTGAGCTTGCAGCCTGAGTTTCCCTTTAAAAAGTAAATTATATAATAAATTATTTTTTTAAATTAAGCTGATTTTTATAAAGTAACAATTCAACTTGACAATCGAGCGGTGAATATATTGATTATTGTAGCCCTCATGTTCATAATAAACACATATGTTTGAATCGAAGTGATAAAAAAAAAATGCTAAATTATGCTTCAATCATTAAACTTATTGCCAGTAATTACAAATAATTGAATTTGAATTAGCCACGTTTTAATAACTAATATAAATAGAAATACAAGGAAAAGATAAATATCAAGACATCAAACAATGTCAATAAATTAAAATGTTGTACAAACACTTATAACGAAAGAACAGGAAATTATTGATTACATGTTCAAATATTCTTCGAATGGCGCCATTCTAGGAGGGGAGGAAGACGCGCGCC